CCCCCCGAAAAATACTCCCTCATGATAAGATGCTCAATCACACTAGAAATCAGGGGAGTAAAAAAATTCAAATAAGGTAGTGTTGTGTTGTCCACTAAATTAGCAAAATTAATGCCTGGGGAAACAGGTACTGCCATATGCACTGCTACGGAGAGTAAAAATTAATACAGCCCCTTGAGATAATTGCAATTTTTACAATATCTATTAAATTTTCAGAAAATTTGCAATTTTTGCAGTGTCTATTATAAAATTTTTAAATTTAGACACTTTTCAATCAAGCAATTCTACTTAATGTATCTCAGAAAAAAAATTCATATAAGTACTCAGAAAGGTTGGTACAAGAATGTCCAATGCAGCATTATTTAAAATACATATACTTTAAGAATAAAATATTTCAATTTAAAGAAAACTTAAAGCCACTTAATATCCAATCAAGAGGGAAATGGTGGAAAAAAATGGTTATTTTACTCTTGCACTTTAAAACATCTAAACATGTAGCTATTTAAATCAATTACGCTTAAATGAAATGAAAGATTCAGTTCTCCAGGCACACTAGGCACATTTCAAGGACTCAGTCACGAGCTGGCTAGTGGTCGCCATACCGGACAGCAGATAGAACATTTCCATTATCACAGAAAGTTCTATTTGATGTCACTGTTCTAAACTAAGGAATACATACTATGGCACTATGTAGCAATTATAGAGAAGTAAACCTATGTATCTTAACATGGAAAGACCTTCACATGCCAGCAGGGGAAAGAAAGGAAAGAACAAGTTGCAGAACAACACAAACAGTATGTCAATGTTTTTTTTAAAAAGGACCCACAAATCAGTATGTACAACTACGTGTGTATAGCAGCAATTTTCAACTGGGGTGTCACAAGAATTTTTAAAACATGCAATACCTATTTGGTCAGGGGCACTGACCTCTTTCCCCTTAGATTGTCAAATAAAAAATGATAACAGCCAACCCAACAATAGCCGCCCAGGGTGAATGAATCAAAATTATACTTTTTGTCAGATTGTCAAAAAACATATTTTTGGTGTGCCACAGAATTTTAGTCATGAGTTTATGTACCATGAGATGAAAAAGGTGGAAAATCGCTGGTATATAGACAAGGAGGTAAATACAGAGAGAAAGACCTAAGAGGATACAGGACACAAAGCAAGCTGGTGACAAGGGCTCCCTCTGCAGAGGGGCCCAGGAGTAGGCTGGTGGCCCAGGGAAGCTGGTGCTTTATCACTGCTGTCAGAATTGCTATAAACAAACACACCTTTCCCTACAACGCCAATGCAAATATAAAATTTCATTTTTTAGAAAAAGATTACTCATTATCAGTATGACTTCCAAACTCTGTAATAACTTTTCTCTGAACCATGAAGAGAAAACACCATCAGGCCACTTGTGGAACCACGAAGAATCTAACTGCCCTCTCAAAACTCCTTTGCTAATACCCCTCCCACGTCTCTGGCTGTCCATGATCTGCCATCTCTCATTTCTGTGATAATGAGAATGGCCTGATATGAAGACAGTAAGAACACTGTAGGGGGGCACTCAATCAGAAACAGGGTAACTCTGGAAGCTCCTCTTTTAAAAACTGATGATACACGATGGGATCTCTACAGACACAGTAAAAATGTATTTGTAGCCATCCTCTTCACAATTTCCTTAAAAGATTCTGGTACAGAGCAATGAAGTCTTCATAGATGCTATAATGTTGATGAACCTCAAAATCATTATGTTAAGTAAAAGAAGCCAAACACAAAAGGTCACATATGATTGATAAATGGATCAGGTATGATTCCACTTGTATGAACTGTCCAGAACAGGCAAACCCACAGAGACAGAAAGCAGGGTAGTGGCTGCCAGGGGATGAAGGACAGGAAGAATGGGGAGTGATTACTTAACGAGTATGGGGTGTTGCTCTGGGGTAATGAAAAGGTTTTAGAACTAGACAGAGGTGACAGCTGCCCAATACTGTGACTGTACTAAAAACAACTAAATTGTTTGTGTTCAAATGGTGAATTTTGTTATGTGAATTTCACCCTCAATGAAAAAAATTTTTAATATGTCTGCTTATCAAGACTCCCTAAAGAAAACTAAAAGACAAGATACAAACTGAGACATATGTAAAACAAATACTAACATATAGCTAGAATTAAAAATAAAAAAAGGCCCGGCTGGGAGGGGCTCAGCGGTTGAGCGTCGACCTAGGATCCAGGCGATCGGGGTTCGATTTCCCATCAGGGCACATGCCCAGGTTGTGGCCTCAATCCCCAGTTGGGGGCGTGCAGGAGGCAGCCGATCTATGACTCTCTCATCATTGATGTTTCTATCTCCCTCTCCTTTCCTCTCTCTGAAATCAATAAAGATATATTTAAAAAAGAAAAAAAGAATGTCTATAGCCCACAGAGAAACAAAAAAAAGGCATTAAGAACTTTTTCACAGAAGAAAAAGCATTTAAGAGATGTTCAACTGCATAAGTCATCAGAGATATATCCATCAAAGTGACGTAGCCATTCAACTGGCAAAAATTTTAAATTCTGTTAATATAACTATTGAAACAAAAATGGATCCACAGGATCCACTGCTGGTGGGAATGTAAGTTGGAAAAATTAAACATTCACACACCATACAACCTAGCAATTCAACCCTAGGTATTTAACCAAGATACACTTTTTTTTTTTTTAAATATGTATTTATTGATTTCAAAGAGAGGAAGGGAGAGGGGGGAGAGAGAGAGATAGAAACATCAATGATGATACACACGCCACACTGGGGATCGAGCCCGCAACCTGGGCATGTGCCCTGACTGGGTATCGAACTGAGATCTCCTGGATCATAGGCCGATGCTCAACCGCGGAGCCACATGGCCAGGCACCAAGATACAGACATGTAGGAACACTCACAGGAGCACTATCAAAACAGCTAAAACCTTATCAATAAATTGTGATAACAGCTGCACAGTAAGTATTTCTCAGTAGTCAAAATGGATTAACTGGGCCCTGGCCGGTGTGGCTCAGTTGGTTGAGTGTCATCCCGTGAAAGGTTGCCAGTTCAGTTTCTGTCAGAGCACATGCCCAGGTTGCAGGCTTGATCCCCCGTAAAGGGCATGCAGGAGGCAGCTGATCAATGTTACACTTTCACATCAATATTTCTCTCTCTCTAAAAATCAATAAACGATTCTTTCAAAAAAAAAAAAAAAGATGAACTATGACACACAATATGGATTAATCTTACTCATGTAACATCAAGTGAAAAATTCCTGGGAGATTACAGTTTGATTCTTTTTGGTAAAGCTTAAAAATATATTTTTTGTGTTTTTGTCTTTAAATAACATATACTGTATATATTTCTATATATGAATGAGATAAAACTATATAAAAAGGAAACTGGGAGAAAGATGAATCAAGATTCAGGATGACGGCTTCCTCAGGTGGGAGGGGGCAGGGGATGGAACAGAGAGGACCACATGAGGGACTGTAAGTTGTTATGATGATTCTAGTTTACTTGCTGGGTGGTAGTACCATGGATGCTAACTACTATAGATGGACAGACAGAGAGATAAGGTAGAGAGATGGATACACAAAACAGGACCAGGACCACACATGGACCAATGATGAGAGTGAGTTGGCATGATCATGACTAATCCAATTCTGAGGTCCAAAAGAAAAAAAAAAACAATCTTATGAACTTAGCAAAAGAAAGTAAATTAATGATTAAGAATTTTAAAATATAGTGAGTGACATTTATAAAGTAAATACTACTTTAAGCAGAATATATCAAGCTTTAGTCCTTTATGGACAGCCCAAGCACTTGGAAATGTCTTTCAACCTTAAACAGAATGTTAAAGTAAAATAGTTTGAGCTTGCTTACCTCTTCTTGAATATACTGTAATAAAAAGGGAGATGCTCTTAAATTATCAACAGGAATATTGAAGAAGCCCTGAATTTCCTTCTGGTGTAAATCCATAGTAATAAGATGCGTCAGGCCTTTGAAAATAAAGCAGACACAAACACATAAATAGTTTAATAACCAGTTCCACTGTATTAAATAAGTACTATGTAAAATAGGATACTATATGTGATAAATTACTATTAAAAACTGCTCTGACCAAAAAAATTCATCATCTTTATACCTCAGATATTTTAGTATGAGATTGTGAGATAACAGAAGATATATATATATATATATATATATATATATATTTATTATGTCTCTATCCCTGGTTCCTGGCACACAGCTCCTAAAACCCTTGTGACTTTCTAAGTAACAAGACACCAGGAGCATCTGTTGTTCTAATGAGCTGATGCTGGGTGGGCTCCTGGATGGCGGGGCTGATCACCAGAGAGACGAGCCATGATCAGAAGTCTGGAATTTTCAGCCCCTCCTCCTTTCTCTAGAGAGGGCAGAGGGGTTAGAGTTGGAGTTAATGATTGATTATGCCTATGAGGAAGCTCCATCAAATCCCAACATCACGGGTCTTGGAGACCTTCCAGGCTGGCGAACAGGTGGAGGCGCTTGGAAGCGTGGCACACCCTGAGGGGGCACTAAAGCTGCATGCCCCTTAGTCCCACATACATGCCCTACACTTTTTCCACCTGGATGTTCATCTGTATTATTAATTTATCTCTTTATAATAAACTGGTAAACAATAAGTAAGCCGTTTTCTTAAGTTCTATGAGGCTCTCTAGCAAATTAATCGAACCCAAGAAGAGAATGGTGAAAACTTCAGATTTATTGCTGATTGGACAGAAGCACAGGTAACAATCTAAACTTGCAATTGGCATCTGAAGGGGGTGGGGGCAGTTTTGTGAGACTGAGCCCTTAATCTGTGGGATCATACACTATCTCCAGGTAAATAGTGTCAGAATTTAGTTAAATTGTAGGACACCCAGCTGATGTCATAGAGAACTGCTAGGTTTGGGGGGAAACTACACATTTGGTGACCAAAAGTGTCAGAAGCGAAGTGTTCTGTGTGAGTAGTAAAGGAGATATGCAGGAGATAGAGAACTAAGGACCTGACTTTCCCTACTCAAGAGGCGAAGATTGGGTGGTTTTTCTTACACAGAGATGCAGGATTTTCACATGAATTTAATGTCTTAAAATAGCGAAGATAATAGTAACAAATAAATGTCTCTGATAAAATTATATTATAGCAAATTATATCTCCTTGAAGTTTCCTTAATAGGCATGGCAAAGCCATAATAAAACAAATACTGTCTTAAGAGATGAAGGCAAACTGTACAGGCCTGTAATTGGAGAAAACGAGGAGCCTTCACCCACTGGCTCATTAAAGAATATTTGAAATAATCACTATAAATGTGTAAGAAAAATTCAATTGGAAAAATTTTAAAAACAAAACTTTCCCAAAGAGCAGGAAAGTAGGCCTAATGTTCTGCCCCGGAACAAGGCTGGAGGAGAGGGGCAGAACCTTTCTGGAAGGTTCAGTGAGCCAGCCTGCTGCTCCCTTCAGCTAGCTCCCTATCAGTTTCAATGGGGCATGCTCATGAGGTTGCTGGGGTTTGGGTTTCATAAAATTTTGTTTTATTTTTTCCTTCTTTAGAATGCTGCAGTAGAAAATTTATTCTATAGTAAGTGTCTGTGTTAAAATGCAGTGATACGAGGACTCTTTTTTCTTTTCTCTCTGTGCAAATGCTCTGAGATATGTACCTTCTATAATCATATACATATATGCACACACATAAACACAATAACAACTCTGAAGATTATTTAGAAACAAGGGGGAGACACTTAGGATGTCACCTGAAAACGCACAACACAAAATAATACACCTAGTTTACAAAGTATACCAACCTGTCTTGGGAAAGGGAAGAGACTAAAATAAAAGTAGTTGCTGTGCTGCCCTGGCCAGTGTTCTCAGTGGTTAGAGCGTTGGCCTGCACACTGAAGGGTCACAGGTTTGATTCCTGATCAAGGGTACATACCTGGGTTGCAGGTCAGATCCCTGGCCCCGGTAGGTGCACACATGGGAGGTAACCAATTATTGTGTCTCTGTCACATCGATGTGTCTGTCACATCTCTCTCTCTCGCTCTCCCCCCCCCACTCCTCCCTTCCACTCTCTCTAAAAATCAACGGAAAAAATATTCTCCTTAAGTTAGGATAAAAAAATAAATTAAAAAATACTAATAAAGCCCAGCTGGAATGGCGCAGCAGTTGATCATCGACCTAGGATCCAGGAGATCTCCGTTCGATTCCCGGTTGGGGCACATGCCTGGGATGCGGGCTCCATCTTCAGTAGGAGGCATGCAGGAGGCAGCCGACCAATGACTCATCACTGATGTTTCTCTCTCTTTCCCTCTCCCTTCCTCTCTCTGAAATCAATAAAGACATATTTAAAAATAAATAAAACAATAATAAAAGTAGTTGCCATGTTAAAGCAGATGGTTCAGCATGCCTTTTCTCCACTTTAAAAATTACTTAATATGATTATAACTTGTCATTTCATTATAATTTTTAAACAAAGAATTGAGGAAAAAAATAAGTCGTTCTAGTTATCTTTGAGTTTGGGGGAGTTGAGAACAGCAGAGAATTCTCTGCACTGTTTTCTCATAAATTAGTTAACTTTAAAAGTTGTATCAGAAAGACAAGTAGCACATGATCTCACTCATATATGGAATCTAATGAACAAAATAAACTGTTGAACAAAGCATAGAAGCATGGAACAGACTGAGGAATCTCAGAGGGAAGGCGGGGGGGTGGGAATGGGGGGGGAGAGATTAACCAAAGAGTTTATATGCATATATGCATAACCCATAGTCACAGACAATAGTGAGGTAAAGGCCTGGGGAGGGGCCGCTTGAGTATAGGGTGGAGGGGGGTCACTGGGGAAAGAAACAGGGGACATCTATAAAACTTTCAACAATAAAGTTAAAAAATAATAACAATAAAAGCTGTATCAGCCCAGACCAGTGTAGGTCAGTTGGTTGGACGCTGTCCCATGCACTGGTACAATGAAAGGTTGCTGACTCCCAGTGGGGCACAAGCCTGGGTTGTTCACTCAATCCCCAGTAGGTGGTGTGCAGGAGGCAGCCGATTGATGTTTCTCTCAGTGGATGGGTTTTTCTCTCCCTCTCTCCCTTCTCTCTCTAAAAAAATCAATTAAAAAATCTTTAAAAATAAACTAATTAATTAATTAAAAGCTGTATCACTATTTTTACTTTGTTCAGCATTCCAATTTAGTCTTAAAAATGCTTTACAGTTTCTAAGGTAAAAATAAAACTCCAGGGTCCCAATTAATTACCAAATATCTGCCATTCTTACCAGCTTTGCACATCATTGAAGCCAGCAATTTAGAAACAATGGAGCCTCTTTTTCTCATCTTGCACTGTTTGCTGTAAGGGAAGTAGGGAATCACACCAATAATGCTTTTGGCACAAGAGGTCTTACAAGCATATACCATAATCAGGAGCTCCATGATGGTGGTGTTCACGTCCCTGTAACCCAAAACAGAAATCCCAGCAAGAATGTAAGACACTGGATAGTATCTCCTTGTTCCAACAGAGTGTGATCAATGTGCTATTCAGGCCTCTATCAAGACTTAAGGCCCAAGGCATGAAAAAGAAACCAGCAAATTCCTCTCTCCTCCATCAGCTCCCCCACATTCCCTCTCAGTCAATTATCCTACTTCCTTTTTCACTGAGAAAAGAGCTGCCACGGGCTCCCACCACTATGTGCATTTACACCTGAGAAGTCCGTATGCCCTCAGCCATCAGTGAGAAATTAATTTTCCACACCAAAGTTACTCTAAAATCAGCCTTCCAAACTAAACACTAATTCCCATCCTCTCTTGTCTACACCAGCAATTCTCCCTCTTTTGCCTCCATCATCAATTTGTTCTACACTCACAGGCTCATATCCATCAGCCTATAAACACTGTTACTTCTCCCATTAAAAACAAGAACTCATGACCACTTTCCCCACTGCCCCATTTCTTTTCTCCCCTGTGCAATAGATCTCAAGACAGTTGACTACACTCACTACCTCTGATTCATCTACTCATTCTCTCCCGAACACATTCCAATCCAAGTCATCAATGACCTCCACGTGGCTAAATCACAAAGTCAACTCTCCGTCCCTCTCTCACCTGACCACTGGAGGCATCACAAACAGCTGCGCACCCCTGCTCCCTGTTACCCTGGACTCACTTGGCTTCTAGGACTCCCCTGTTCTCCTTCCACACTACTTGGTTTCTTTTGCTGGTTTCTCTTCTCCCCAACTTACAGCCCTAACACTCCTTCCTTTGCCCTCTTCTCCTACCATCTCCCCTCATCCCTTGGGCTTCTCATCCAATTTCACAGCTTCATAAATACTGGAGACTCTCAAACTTATAGCCCCAGTCCAAGCTTCTCAACTCCAGTCTAACAGATTAAACTGCTACTTTATGGTTCCACTTGAACGTCTATTAAGACATCTCAAAACTTCACATACCCCAAACTAAACTGCTCTTTGCCCCCAAAAGCCTGCTTCATCATAAAAACCTTTGCTATCTCAGTCGATGGCAAACACTATTCCTCCAGTTTACTCAGGACAAAAACCTCAGCGGCATCCTTAACTGCTCTACTATCCAGAAAGTTACAGCATCCCACTACTCCACTGCTGCACTGGGGCCCTGCCACTCTCGCCCCTCAACCAGGTGACTATGACAGCCTTCACCACAGGTCTTCCTACCCCCACCCCCACAGCCCTCTGCAGTCCATTCTCCACACAGAACCCATCTAGACAATATAAAGTCATATCATGCACCACTCTGCTCCAGGTACAGAAATGGATTCCCATTTTGCCCACAACCCTATAATGGTTCCCAGGGCCCCTTCATGATCTGCTCCTCAGCCCAACTTCTCTGCTGTCCACTCCTACTCCATGATCTCTCAGTCTGGCCACACTCAACAATCTGAGTGCTGACTCCCATCGAGGGCCTTCACTCTGGGTGCTCCCAGTTCTCTTCTGCAGCTAGCTACCTAGTTTACTCCCTCACCTTCTTCCAGTTTTTGTCAAATGTCAATTTTTAGTAAGGCCTACCCTGCAAGCCCTTTCTATATCCTTTCACCACCAGGACTCCCAATTCCTTGCCACGCTGTTTCGTTTTTTGTTCCCCATAGCACTCATCGCCTTCTGACAAAATAAATAATCTGCTTATTATATAACACACAAGTCTTAGAATATACAGGGTGGGGCAAAAGTAGGTTTACAGTTGTTTGTATGGAAAATAATAGATCATTCAGAAATAAGCTCTGTTTCATATAATCACAACTATAAACCTACTTTTGCCCCACCCTGTATAATCCATGAGAATGAGGATCTTTATTCATTTTAATCTTTAATACATCTCACACCTATAACAATGACTAGCATATGTTAATAGGTAAATGAGTAGAAACGCATGTCTTCTGGGTGAGGAGGTGTTTTTAAGAGCTCACAACAAGCCTGGCCTCTGCAGAGTGAAAGTAGACTTTCAGAAGTGTTCCATGTGAAAGAGAGCAGAGAAACCAACAGTGAGTGCAAACGTATACTGAGGTTCCCAAACACTGCTCCATTTTCTGTGAGCTGCTACAAAGCTTTCCTTCACTAAACTTAAATAATGAGCTTGTTTGAAAAGTTAGCGACAGAATTTTCTTAATTTAAGAATATTCTTAAACTTTTAGTGCCTACCTCTAGTCTATCCTAAAATAAAGGATACACTGTATCTGACAATACCAAGCCTCACTGTTAACTAGCTCAGTGTATTTTATAAAGATGTCCAGGCTTTCTGCAACCTTGACAAGAGTAAGAGTAGCTGCATTAACACAAGCCTACTGCACAGTTCAGAAAAAAGCAAAATGAGACATGTAGAGAAAACTAAGGAGATGGTTTTGGCTAGAGGAGTAAGAAACTACAAAAGGCAGGGAGAGAATGGTGTTAAAATAAACAAAAGGAAATAGAAGGACTTGCAAAGGGGAATTACAGGAATCACCCTTTGAAGTCCTGAATTCTAAGTCCAATTTGGTCTTCAGTGCCTACTTATCCTCCTGGGTAACATACACAACCTCTGTGCATTTATCCAAATGGACTCACACTTGTCTCTGGGGAGATAAAAGTACTGCAAACACCCAGGAGCCAGAAGCAACACAAATTGTTCTGGGCTCTGCAATTTCCATACCTGGAGGGTGAGTGGGTTCCTTAGTCTTTAAGAGCCTCTACTCCAATAGAGCAGCCTTACCCCCCCGCCCCATCCTCACTGTCTCTTTCTGTCATTTGTTATCCACAGTCAACCATAGAAGGAAAATATTAAATGGAAAATTTCAGAAATCAACAATTCGTAAGGTTTAAATTGTGAGCTGTTCTGCATAGTGTGATGAAATCTCTCGCTGTCCTGCTCCATCCCACATGGGACATTAATCATCGCTTTGTCCCACATATCCATGCTGTATTCGACCTCTGACCATTAGTCACTTGGTTATCAGATCAGTTACCAGAGACTAAGAGAGAGACAGACAAACAGACACCACATTCACATAACTTTTACTACAGTATATCATTGTAATTGTTCTATTAGTTATTATTGTTAATCTCTTACTGTGCCTAATTTATAGATTAAGCTTTATCACAGATATGCATGTATGTATGTATGTATAGGAAAAACATAGTACGCATTGGATTCAGTACTATCTGCAGTTTTAGGCATCCGCTGGGAGTCCTGGACTGTATCTCCTGTGAATAACTGGGGGACTACTGTACTTGGTTACACATAAAAGTGAGCAGTTAAGCCAGAAAAATAAGAGGAGTAAGATACCGATTTTAAAACTATCTTAATTTTCCCTGCCTAGCCAACTCATTTTGAACACTCGTGCCCAAACAGAAACCCAGGAAGCAGCAATGCTGCTGGATCAGTACTTACTTTGAAACAGTCTGAATGATGAATACATCTTTTCCCCTCACGGACTCTTGAATTTGTACTCTTGTTTCTGGAAGGAAAAGGGAAAAAGAAGGGAGGGGTAAAGAAGGTATATAATTTATGTTTTAAAAAATACACAAAAACATTTCGATATTCTCCAATGTTACAAAATATGGAAACTGTAACTGTTATAAAACAGATTAGCTTTAGAGGCTACAAAAGGGTAATAAACATACTGCCATTAGCTACACTTTTTACACATGATTAACATGGCATCTTTAAGACAGAATTACATTTCTGACTTGAAACCAGTAAACCTACCCTCTCACTTCTTGTGTTTAAGCAGTGAGCACTGTACCACTCTGAGCATAGTGTCTTTATAGGAAATTATATACTCAGTCATTCAACCAGCAACAAGGAAGAACCTATTAGGCACAAAATGTTACAATAATGTTGTGAGAGCAATGAAAAATAAGGTCCAGTACCCTACTCTCAAAAAATTTGTGATCAGCCACAAGGAAACAGAAAAACCCAGAATAGGAAAGCCTCGTCAAAAAGTCAAGGTCATGGGAAGGAAAAAGAACAGGTGAGGAACTGATGTCGACTAGAAGCAACTAGAGAGATACTAGAGACACAGTGCTTGAACCATGAATCCTGGTGTAAAAAGAACAGCTTTAAAGGCTCTTTAGGACAACTAGGAAATTTTAAATATAGACTAGACATTAGATGATTACAGAAAAAGTCCTTACTCTCGGAGATACATGATCAAGTACTGGGGTTAAATGTCTTGAGATGTCTACAACTTACTTCTACACATACATATTCACATAGCAAAATGTTAACTGTTGAATCTAGGTAGTACATATACATATAGGTGTTCACTGTACTATTCTTTCAATTTTTTTTATGTTTGAACATTTTCATTTAAAATGTTGGAAAAAATAGAATACATGTATAAAAAGGAACCTGGTACCACAGAAAGAATATGAGCTTTAGAGTCAGAGAGATCTGGAACCGAATCTTGCCCCTGCTACTTCTGAGACCTCCTACCTAACATCATTCCTGAACGCAGTTCTTCAAAATCTGGTAGTAAGAAGGAGTCCATAAATGCTAGTTCCCACCCTCCTTCACAACAGGCACCAAGTGTTTCCTCTCCCCTCATTCATGAACCTGGAGGGTAGAACAACCTCCTCCTGAGTCTTCCACCACTAGCTCTCCTCTCGGCCCTCATTCCAGACTAGACAAAGGACATGACCCAATTCCCTTTAGCAGCATTATCTTCTCCAAACTCTACCTGCATATTTTCTTCAGTTAACTTTTTTCACTTGGGAGATAGGAAAGAGAAGGCAATAATAAAGAAATATATAGGGGAAGAGGAAATTTGTGCCCTTTCATCAAGTCTATTTTAAGTTCCATAATATGTAAGTACTTGACAAAATCCTATAGTGGAAAAGAGATAACTAATGTTTATTAAGTACCTGCTATGTGCCAAGAACTGTGTTAGGCACACAAATTAATCCTCAAATACCCCTAATTATTTGCAGTTTAGAAAGGTTATATAACTTGCCAAGGATAAGCTGTCTGACTATCAAGTGCATGCAAACTGCCTGTCCCCCCACTAAAATACATAAATTACAAAGTTAAATAATACATGCTTTTTACAATTTAAGCTGTTTATGCAATGATATAAATCAATTAACAAAAAGCATTTTTCTTTTTTTTTTTATTAATCCTCACCTGAGGATATTTTTTCCATTGATTTTTAGAGAGAATGGAAAGGAGAGAGGGAGGGAAGGAAAGAGAGACATTGATGTGAGAGAGAAACATCGATTGGTTGCCTCCTGTATGTGTTCCATGGGGCTGCGGATCAAACCTTCAACCCAGGTACGTGCCCTTGACTGGGAATTGAACCCTCGACCCTTTGGTGCACAGGCCGACACTCTAACCACTGAGCAATACTGGCCAGGGCAGCAAAAGCATTTCTTAACAAGATTTCATGAAGTCTAACCCATGGCAGCTCACATGGAGGTAAAGAGTAACAACCAATTAGTATTGTGGTCACACAGGATTTACTCATCCTGCCTAAGGTGACATAAATTCAACTACAACTGACATAATGTTTCCATTCATTTGACCAGCTGGTTCATATATCTATGCAGTTTTTGTTAAATGAGGTCTAAGAACTGGCATTTAAGCCCCCAGATGTGACTTGCTCCAGGGTTTGCATTTAGTTGTTATTGTGGGAGCTAACACACCACTTTCGCCCACTGTGCCTGCCTGACTTCCTGCTAATGGAACTGGAAACTAAGCCTAACTGTTTCCATAGTGGAGGATGAGGGGCTGAGCCAGTACGTCATATTCTGTAAAAAGATCAATGTTACGCATGTCAAAGATAGCTCACCTCGGTTAGGTTCCTGGTAAACCTGCACTTTGCCCATTTCCACCCCCAGCCGCCTAGAGAAGAGAAAGGGGGGGAAAAGCTGAAAAGGTAATAGAATAGACTCAACATCTTTACTATCTAAGTATGATTTGTAAATTAATAAAAATAAAAGAGAGGTATTCTTATTGTAAAATTTAAAGTGAGTATTAAATTGTACCATTACTCCATTACCGAACCCCTTCCCCTCCCCCCCATGCCTACCTGAGGTCTATGTAGTCCTGCTCTGCCTGCCTCACTGACCATTTCCTTGCGCTCTCTACACTCCCCCCATATTCCTGAGATACACCAACAACTCCTGCTGCACACCACAAGGACTTTGAACCTACTGCTCCCTCTGCCTGGAGGGCTCTGCCCCCCAGACTTTCACTGAGTGACTCATTCAGGTTTCTCAATTCACATATCATCCCGTTTAAAACACACCTGAGCACCCAAGCTAAAACAGAACCTGGCCCATCATTCCTTTCACCATTTTTTTAAAGCATTTACCACCACCTGAAATTATCATGTTTATTTTGCTGATGTGCTTCTTGTCTGGACTCCTACAAAATGTAAAAAGGAAGGATTTTGACTGTTCACTGTTATTCCCCAATACCTAAATCAAGGCCTAAAATAACTAAAACTATGCTGAACTATAACCTATAAACTATTTCTGTATAGCATCCACTTCTTTGTCCTTTATACTCAAATATTCTATACTATGAAGCATCTAACTATCCCTGGCGCTCACAAGGCACTCGATTAATGTGTGCTGAAAGTATAGGGTGCTATGATAGTTTACAAAAAAGTTAGCCCTTAATTATATACACATGACACGCAGATTATCTGCTTTCCAGTTTAACAATCAGTGCTAATCCGATTATTAAATTAAAACATCACATAATACAAACGTTAATGGTATGATTATAACTCACTCAGCAATTTTCTTTGAAAGCTCCATACATGATGAATTAGAATTTGCTGAAAACAACACCAGACCTCCTTTGGTTATATTCATCTTGGTTTCTAATTCAGCTGGCGCCACACAAAACATCAAAACCTTCTTGGTTTTCCAATTCTCAGAGCCTAGAAGGATATAAAATATAGCAAGAACTGTCATATGATATTAATTACACCTGAATGGATTTTAATAGCAAAATGACTTCAGCTGAAGGAAATTAGTTTTCATTATAATAGAGTCTTTTATATTAAATATATATGGACATATAAAAAGTCCATTTAGATTTTAGGGTTCCAAATTTATGGAAATACGTTATCACATGATTTAATTAGCTTTCATGACCACTGGGAATAAATGATAAACTTACAAGAAAGGCGGAGCTGAAGAGCTCAGTGTTTTACTGTTTGCTGCTTAAAGTCAATTATGGAAACCTCCTTTTATTCTCTGACAACAAAATTCCTCCTGGATTAACACACAGAAAAATGGCAGAGCCATTAGCAAGGACATGGACTGATTGATCCTTAAACAATAAATAAGTGACCCACCTATGCCCAGCTTTTCCTATAATATCTGTTTACCATAAAACCTCCCCCTGACCTTGCAGCTGCCTCTCAGATGCCCTAAATCATATCTAAAACTGATCTTGTTATTTGCATTTTCCTCAGGCAGAGCACAAGGTTGACCATAGAACAACTTTGCAGGGAAGTAATGTGACCATGCAAATGACAGGGAACATGCCCAAACAGAAAGTCATGGGAGCTGAGGTTCTAACCCACTGGCCATCCGTGTGCCCTTCTACCTTGGACTCTCTGGGCTGAGTGCATGCAACAGCAACACGCTAGTAAGCCACGGGGGGTGGGGGCACCTTCCCAGCATGCCCACAGCAGTTCTGCAGTTCTTTGTTTACTTAGGATGGCACTGGGAAGGCTGGTGGAGATTATGAAAGGGCTGAAGCCACACAGATCCTGTTATTCTTAAACTTTAACTACACAAGTAATATACAAACACATTCTCCTTGTTAAAAAAACAAACGGAATATGACAGTGAAGGCCATAGTCACCAGCCCCAATCCCAGGTTCCTTCCCACCCACGTCCCCAGTTCTTATTAGTTTGGTATGAACACCATCAGGCCTTTTTTATACATTCACACACGGACCCCCATAAGATATATATATATAAAATATATTTCTAACATAAAAAGGTATCGTACAAATCTACCTATAATTTGTCTTTTCATTAAACAATAAATTTTTACAATCCAGGTTAGAAAAAAGAGACCCCTCATGTCCTTTTTAACTGCTGCCAGTATTCTATAGTGCAGATATGCCAAATTGTGGAGGTTACCATCCTGAACAGGCCTCCCTGTACCCATGTGTATGACTCTGCAATAACTACAAGAAGGGAACCACTGGATCACACTGGATCACAGGGATAGTGCAAATTATGGTCCCACCAGAAGACTTAAGAGAGTGCATTTCCACACAGAATGCACCTCTTTAGGGACATTCCACAATGGGAAATATGGGGCATTACAATGGATTCACCTAAAGCCTACAGGTCTCAGTTTGCATTATAACTGCCATCAGGTGGCCCCAAGGAAAGCATAAGTGGAGGGGTCAGTATTGGCCTGGAATGTAGCTTCAATTAAGCGACTACAAGACTGGCACAAGTGGCAGTGGCCACAGCTCACATCGTGGTGCCCACTAAAGGGCCCCAAGCCCAGCACAAGTGGCAGCCATCCTCCGTTTGCAGCAGAGCCTCTTCCAAGTGCCTCCAAGCCCAGCACAAGCAGCAACCAACCACAGACCACTTTGTAGCTCCTACCAAGAGGCACCAAGCCCAGCACAAGAGGCAGCTCAACTTGGTCTGCACCAGAGCCCTTCCCAAAATGCTCCATAATCCACACACTTGGTGGCAGGCTTCAGACCACACTACCCAACCAGATACACACATTACACACCCACAGGGTGGATTCAGCTTACACCAGAGTTCCACTAAAGCACCTCCTGCTTCGTGGAGTCAGACTCTGCAAAACTCATACACTGTAGTCATGGTCAGCCCTCTCAGCCAGTCAGCCTGAGAGTCAACTCCACCCACTGACATCCAGCAGCAATCAAAGCTCAACCACAAAAGAAGGGCACATACAACCCACACAGGGGACACCTCTAGAGCATCTGGCTCAGATGACCAGGGCACCTTCTACATAAGGTCACTCTGTCAAGACTGGGGAACATAGCAGATCTACCTAATACATGAAAACAAACACAGGGATTCAGCAAAAATGAGGAAACAAACAAGGAAAGAACAGGACAAAACTCTAGAAAAAGAACTAAACAAAATGGAGACAAGCGGTCTCCCAGATATAGAGTTCAAAACACTGGTTATAAGGATGCTTAATGAGCCCGGCCAGGCGTCGTGGCTCAGCGGTTGAGCATCGACCTAGGATCCAGGAGATCGCGGTTCGATTCCCGGTCAGGGCACATGCCCAGGTTTCGGGCTCCATCCCCAGTCGGGGGCGTGCAGGAGGCAGCCAATCAATGACTCTCTCATCACTGATGTTTCTATCTCTCTCTCTCCCTCTCCCTTCCTCTCTCTGAAATAAATATATATATTTTTTAAAAAATGCTTAATGACCTCAGAAGAATAGATGAACTCAGTGAGAACTTCAACAAAGAGACAGAAAAAATAAAAAAGGAGATAGAATATTGGGGGGAATACTTTGTAAAA